CAACCTATCCTTGACAAATGATGAGATCTGGCAAATTCATGAGTTTTCAGCAATGAATTTGGGGATTGTTAAAGGGCAAAATGTGTGCTGTATATATTGCAGAGGTTCTACCACTTGAAACCCCTGATCTCCCATCTCTCATTTAGAGTCACCAGAAAGAAGGAAGGAGAAGGGTCACCAGACTACTTCTTCCCCACTGCAACTACAGTAGTGGGCATAAGACCTGTGTAGAGCTCAGAAAGAAAGACAGTGGTGAGCAACAAGTGCTGAGGTTTTTAGGGATCTGCTTCCATTGCTTGGTCCAGCTCCTCACTCTACCTCCAGATGCACCACAGCAGCTGCTGCAATGATGGTCCCTATCTCACTTGCCAACAATTTGTTCAGAGGCTTGAGAACACAAGTGACTCTAGGAACAATGGCAACATGGTGGCTTCTGGTGGATATTATCTAGAATGGGTAGAAGTGTGCATGGGTCAGTATAATTTCCATCTCCTGTTGTGCCCTACCATTCTGTCTCCCTAGTCAAAGTAGGCTTTCCTTCAGAGCAAGACTGCACATGCCACCCTGCAGCTTTGTTTTTTAAAAGACCAAATGCTCAACAGGGCTCCTTTGCATGCAGCCCCAAGGGAGTGTCTTCCCCTCCCTTCCTTCTATTTACATCTCTGTCCCCTATCCAACCAGGACAGTCCAGGGTGACGCAGCTGCCACCACCTTTGACATTCAGGGTTGGTTTGTTTATTTAACAAATTTATATTGCTGCCCATCTACCAATGGAACTGCAGGCGAACAACAAAAAAATAAATATATAATACAAAAAGGGTCAAATTGAGGCACTTAACAAATTCCTTATCAACACACCCATGCCAGTCTCCATTAACATCCTGGTCCCAGTGCCTGGGCAAAAATGCAGATCTTCATGGCCTTCTGGAAGACCAACAGAGTTGGGGTCATCTGAATCTCCAGCAGGAGGGTGTTCTGTAAGGCAGGCACCATAATAAAGACACAGGTTGTAGGATCAGGGTCAAAAGAAGGAAAATGCTTTTCTTTTCTACTAATTGAGAAACTGAAGGGCATCATAACCCAGTCTTTGGAAATCAATCTGGAGAAGCCTGGGCTCTGTGAGTCATGTTACCAGATTACACATACAGACCTGACACAAATTGGCACCAAAATATATATTTAAAATACTATTTAGAATTTATTAAAGAAGAGAAAATGGGGGGATGTCAGGATGAAAGGGCTAGACTTCAAAGAGGAAATATGAGCAAAGGAACAATGTATAGGGTTCAAAGAGAAGACATTCAGGCAAAGGTTGTCCCAAGCACAGGCAAAACCCTAATGCCACTCTGAAGCCAGTGAAAGCTCATTTTAATGGATGGTTGGGGGAGGGGGTGCCTGTTTCTTGCAAATGTCTGTTAAATAGGAAAGTATGCCATTGTGGCTATTTCTATCATTGCATAATATCGCAGAGTACACAAATATCACAAATTAGTCACTGGCATCAAATGATGTTGCAAGTGGCATAAATGGATGCAAAGGACATCATTTGTGTCATTTGAATAGCAGTGACATTGTGCAAATTATATAAATGCCCTGCATGTTGTAAAATTAAGATACGGTTACGGGAACTTGGTCCCTTACCAAATTTTATCTGAAGTTCTCAAAATGCAGGTGCTTATATGTGTAACAAATGACCAGCTTCTTTTAGGGAAAAAGGAATCTGGGAAGGAGTAATTTGGATCCATAGCAGTATTACTATGAATATGCTAAGTCTTTTTCTTATCCCCTTAACCCTTCTTTTTTCCTGTAATTCAGCTCCACACTTTTCTTTCTTTATGGTTCTAAACCAAAAGGTGCAGATTAATTTCTGGATTTACAGGAGTTGGAGAATAGAAGTGGCTTAGAAGAACGATGAAGCGACTTTCAGTTGTCTTGTTTCCAAATAAGCCACACCCATGACTGTTTCCTGAAGAAGAAAGACACTGCATTTGGTTAGAAGGCTTTCCAACCTGGCATTTCCTCTGAGCTGTAATTCTAACATATTCAGAGAACACCATGTTGGGTTATACGTGTTTGCATATAACACGTTTTGACCTTAACTGGCTCACATCTGTGATGTGGCTTATGCCAGAGAGTCGAGAGAGTAAATTAAGTCAAGAATTCAACCTTAGAGTCTGGGTTTCCTTCTAGTAATTATTATTATTTGTTTAGAATCAAGAAGGCAAGAAAAAACAGTCCCTAGATTTCTTGCCTTTTCCTACATGCTATTCAAAGCCAGTTTCTTTGCTCTTAAAGCAATCAAGAAATAGCTCTCTGAGCAGATGCTGTGTATCTCTCTTGCCAGATGTCAGTAAGCCATCTTTCCATGCCTTGCAGCTGAATGCACGAAGCGTTGTATCAATAGCACAGGACTGCCTTGACATCAAGGACACTTTTCTGGAGCTGATGAAGTATTTGTATTGTTTCTGTGATTTCAACTGACCATTTACTGTTTTCAAAGCTTATATTTAGAATAATGATCTTATATGTTATACTTTTGATAAAAACTGCATGACTTTCCAAATAAAAACACAGATACCCTCTTTTTATTGTTCCAGTTCACCACCCATATTCTTCCCATTCAAAATATTTGTTGGGACCTGAAAGATATGGAGTAGGTGCCTGTGGTTTTATATATATATGTTATTTATTATTACTTATATTTTTTTTCACCTAATCCAAAAGCAGAGTATAATTACATAATTACAAAAGTTAGAACCATGGAACTGTATCATAAAAACAAGACACCAAACAACACAGTAGCATACATTCAGTGAAAAGACCAGGTAAATAAGTAGGTTCTCATCTAGCATAAACAATTAATAAATCCTTGCACCATCTGTAACTGGAAAGAGATAGAATTCTATAATGAGACACAGACATTTTGAATGTTCTCTTTTTGATTGCCACAAAATAACTTTAACAAGTGTTTAATTGTCAAATGGCATCTCTGCCTGATCTTGTCTGCAGAGCAAGTACATACATTCCCACTCATCAGTCTCACTCTTCAAATATATCCCAAATTATACCCAACAAAAAATCAACAGAATAAGAGAGAGAAAGAAGAAAAAAAATAGGGGCAGTTGATAAACATGGGTAACTAGTTTCTCAGCAGAACACAGCCCTAGTCACTTTCTCTCTTGATGTCACCAGACAATTTGTGATTTGTGATTCTGATTTTTTAGGGTTGTTCCTCTTACTGTAAACTATCTACTTCTACAATTCTGCATTCCTTCACGATCTGTCTTGAAGTTTGATTGGTGTGGAATAATGCTTCCTTAGTGTACTGAGTTTTTATGCCACACAAAATGAAGTTTATTTCATAAATACCACAGTCTTATTTGTGGACAAGCACCTGTCTTTTGTCTTTTTCCCTTTCCTCCGTGCACCGATGACCTTTGTCTCAGTGCAACTTGAGAATGTTGCATTATCTTTCTGCTGACTGGAACTTGTGGATGTTTTAGTAATTGGTAATAAAATGTACCTACGTGCTGAGAATAATGATTTCTCAACCCAGTTCCCTTCAACCTGCTGGGGAAAAAAAGGTTAATCAACTGTTGCTGTTTCAGAAATATCAGGCAACTCATTAGCTTGGCTAAGTCAGGGCATCATTGTGACTAACAAATGATGTCACCAATTGCCTCCTCTTTCCTTTGGCTAGCAAATTGCTAAAGGACATCTACGTAGGAATTATGAAAAGTGACATTTTACCTCAACCTGCAAGTGCTGTTTTTAGGACTGGAAGATCCAAATTGGGGAGCGAGCTTTTTATGTGATGCTTATTTATTGGAATGTAATGTGTTGTAGGAAAATAGAGGTTTATTCCCTATAGAGTATGAATGCATATAGTTAATTTTTAATTTTAGTTAATTTAAATACATTTAGTTAATTTTTAAAATACCTTTGTAAAAAAAACATTGATTCACATAGGGTTTGGTTATGTTTCCCAGTATTCTTAACAAATGAAGATTAGTCTGCACTAGATGAGTTCAAGCATAGATAAGTTACTTAATTCCCAATGACAATCAAACTAAAGTTAACATTTCTATTACAACAATAGGTTCCACTTCTGGCAGAGTAGTTTTTGTTGTTTGAAAGCTTGAAACATTGCACAAGCCTGCAAAGCTGATATGATAAATGACTGTTACAAGGAGAGAAATGAACTTCTGAATTACAAAGTTCACGCTAGAATGTTGTTTTAGAAAGTCATTATTTGCAAGCAGCCAAAAAGTGTTTAAACCAGTGTTTTTCAAACTTGGAACTTTAAGGTGTGTGGACCTTAGTCCCAGAATTCTCCAGAATGCTAGCTGGGGAATTCTGGGCATTGAAGTTCACTCACCTTAAAGTTGCCAAGTTTGAAAAACACTGGTTTAAGCCATATTTGGTGACTGAGTACATGAGCTTTCTGAATAAGTATATCTTCAGTGGAGCTCACTGGAGAAATCCATTGACCATATTCAGCCCACAGAACCTATTTCTCTTGAATATGAGCAGTCCTTTTTTCCTGTCCCAATTTACTTGCAAACATTTATTGCGAAGTTTTACAACCATTTGTGGGGGGAAAAAACTTACTTGGAAGAATTCTTCAATGTCTTCATATGATCCATTGACTTAATGTAATAATAATGTAAGTTGAGAGGATAACCTGCATGACATAAAGCTATATATCTGTATATGGAGCAGAGCAGAGTTCTTGAAGATGAGAGGAAGGGGCAGAAAACACTAAGAGATCAGCATTCTAAGCAAGAGTAGATAACATAAAGCTTGGCAATTACTCTGTTGCCTACTCTTTGGGTCCACCCCTTCCATCAGCAAATACAGGGAGGCCCAACCAGATATTGCCGTATCAATCAACCATTTATTTCAACCTGGCTGACTTACAACCTATTCTGTGGATTGATTGAGAGCCTTTGTGACATGGTGGAAGTGATGTTAATTCATAGTCTCTGTTCTAATTGCAGGGAGGAGAACACTGTTATTATCAAGGTCACATCAGAGGGAATCCAGACTCATTTGTTGCTCTGTCCACCTGCCAAGGACTTCAGTAAGTTTCTCTAAGATTAATCATAAAAGTGGGCCTTTGTAGAACTGTGCTGTTGAGTGAAATCCCTGCTTCAGATCTTAGCCCAACTGCAAACTCATAAACAGAAGTTAGGCAGGCCCCTCTGTCACAGCCATGTTCTACTCCTACCTAATCTGTAAACTGGGGATAGCAGTACTACTCTGTTTTGCGGTACCATAATTCCCAAGTTAATGTATATAAAACATTTCCTACATTCTAAATGCAGAGAATTATTTACTTGTTTGCTTATATTTCATTCCATATGCATTCATATGTTTATATTTCATATGCATATTTCATACATATACCTCAAACCTGAATGCTCATCCTGGTAAGATATTATTTCTAAGGTCAAGCAGGAGATGCTGCTGCTATAAATAGAAGCACTTATCTCAGGATTCTCTGTCATCTTCCCGTTTCTCTGAAAGCCTTGCACTTATCTTAGGGGAACTTCATTGATTGATGGCTTGATACTTTCAGTATCACTTTTCAAAATATATTTAAACATTATTATGTACCTATTTTGCAGAAATGAAGATTGTGTTTAGTTGTATGTATGAGTGTGTGTGTGTGTTATATTGTCCATTTCCCCCCCCCTCATTCTGTAATTTTGTCTGTCTGTCTATCATCTCTCTCTTTAGCAAATGTATGGTACATTACACATTATGTTCATGTTATAAACTGAGCATCACCCAAAAAATAGTATTTTAATGCATTTTTTAGGCTTTGGCTACATGGTTTTCTTTGATAGTAAAGTTTTAGTGCTTTAGATCTCTGCCTAAAGATCTGTCATTCCATCCATCCCTCCCTCCCTCCCTCCCTCCCTCTCTCCCTTTTCCCTTTTCTATTCCTTGTCCCTTTTTAGTAATTTAAAGAAACAGTAAAGTAGCTTACTAGCTTAAGTTGTATCCATGTCTCATGTAGCATTCATGCTGATGGTAAAAACACAAGACTGGTCAATTTGGGCATATTTTGGCTAGTATACCACAAGTGCAAGCAGAGTCTGGTTTTATCCTGAGCTTTTTCATGCTATTCTACGCAAGCTAGGATCTCTATAATGTAAAGACTACCTTGCCAGTCAACATAGTTTTTGCTAGAAAGTGTGTGCAGTACTCTAACATACCTGATTCAAATTGAATTGCAAAACATATATATGTAAAAGAAGAGTTAATGTCTTAAGAGGAAGTAGAAGATTAAGAAATATGTTATTGGAGTAGTTGAGACCTTGAAAAAGACTTCAATGAAGCAAAGACTATTTGCAATGGTAGAAAGTTATGGAGAAGTATAATTAATGCTGTTGGTGTAAAGTAAATTTAGTTAGATTTCCTTTTCATTTCTGTTATCTCCTGACTTTTACGTTCTTTTGCTTACTACTTACTCTATGTATGTTTTGTGTAAGGTTGCTTATCCTGAAAGAGAATGATGAGATGAATATACATGTATGAATGTAATGAAAATGTATGCAAAACCTTTTTTTTTAAAGTTAAGAAGAAATATAAACCAGTAATAACAACAAAAGCAAAATTAAAAAAGAGAGAATAAAAACTTAGAGAACATCTAATACATACTCATACAAATGTGATCTTACAGAGAAATACTAACATTTTAAACTTCCATATTATATTACTGCTGAGATGAAGTAGAAAAACTGTACTAAATCACTGTTCCTATGAAAGATCAAGGAGAGGAATTAAAGCTCAGCTTTTAACAATGATCAGAAAGCAATAATTAGGTTAACTGGGTAGTGAAAAAGATATATTCATATTAAGCAGTAAGTATAAACTTCCATATTATATTACTGCTGAGATGAAGTAGAAAAACTGTACTAAATCACTGTTCCTATGAAAGATCAAGGAGAGGAATTAAAGCTCAGCTTTTAACAATGATCAGAAAGCAATAATTAGGTTAACTGGGTAGTGAAAAAGATATATTCATATTAAGCAGTAAGTACATGCAAATGAATGTATGTCTGACTAAAAGGATCCTTGATGAAAATTATGAATTGATTTCAAAAGAAAAAACATTGCAAGTGTACAAAGAGATATTGATTTTTTAAATAACAAATGTAGTCTCCAGGGAATACAGGAGCAGCTAGTTACTGCTTAAGCCATTCCAGTGAGAACATGCCATAACTGAATGCATAACATACATTATTTAATCAGCTTGCCAGTTGTAAAGGAAGAACCAAGGTTATATGTGCAAGGTCAAAATCCAAGTATTAAAAATACTTGACAAAGAGGGATCCAGTCCTCTAAATGATCTAAATGCCAACTAAACAAAAGGAGACATGAGTGGGGAGACAATTATGTGCACTGCTATGTCCCCTGGCACGTCCAGGAAAATTGGTGTTTTATAAAATATTCTAAATTCTCATCTTGGTTTTGATTTTCAACCCTTTCTTCAAATTTACCAACACTTTATGCCAGGTGAAAAAGTCTTTGATCTGTGGAATACGTGTGTAGTCATTTTTTTTTCTTGTCTTTCTGTCATTGAGCTACTGAAATTTTAGATTGTAGATCTACTAAATCTAAAACTTGGGTAACTCTACCACTTTGCTAGTATTGAACATTTTTAGAAATATTTGTAATGAAATGAGAGGCTGTAACATTATATATGGGAATATGTATGTGAGATTATAGTGATAGTACTATCCCATAAGCTACTTATAAGAGGGGACTGTCTCATGAATAGTCTTCCAATTCTGTCATTCTACCGAACCTGTCTGTAATTGACTACACACAAGTCTGAACACCTTCCTGAGATGAGGTGTCATCCTCCAGACTGGTCTCAAAACACTACAGGTAGTCCTTGGTTTACAACAACTTGTTCAGTGACTGTTCAAACTTGCAACAGTGCTGAACGAGTGGTACTTATGACTGGTCCTCAGAGTTCTGGCCATCACAGCATCCCTGTGGTCACATGGTCACCATTTGCAATCTTCTTTGCTGGTTTCCAACAAGCAAAGTCAGTGGGGAAGCTGGCTGGAGGTTGCAAATGGTGACCATGTGACATCCTTGCTTAATGAACCTCAGTGATTCGCTTAAGAATGGCAACTGGGAGTACTGGAATTGCCATTGCTAAGTGGCACGGTCATGTGATGTCATGCTTTACGACCACATTGCTTAGTGATCGCAGTTCCAGTCCCAATTACCATCGTAAACCGAGGACTATCTGTAATTTATTCTTTAACTTATAGCTAGCCCTACTTTGAATACCCAAGCACAGAGCTGAACATCATTCTTGCTATACAGGAAAGTGAAATAATTTATTTGGCATTTCTGGGCTCTACCAAATCCAGAGGTGTTGATATTTAGACAGGATTAGCAGCACAAAACTGAAAAAGCACAGGACTACTATGCTCTTTTTCAGTCCTAGCACCAACATACAATCATACTTGGAGAAGACCTTTGACATTATATGACCTAGATATAGGAATTCTAGGGATAGAATATCCCTTGCAAATTGCAAGCTGGCCTCTGCTTGAAAACATGCAGTTTGGGGATGCTTAACCCTCCTCTAAAATAATTGGTTCCACTCTCAAATTGCTTTTATCATCAAGGGGTGATATCATCCTAAAATTTAACTACAGTGGATTTAGCAACCATTGTTACTACATGTAGGATAACTGCATGCACTGGTCTGATACCACTGTATACATATTTGATCTGAAAGATATACTAATATTGTTTTAAATATGGTATTCTGTATTCAGGGTATATCCTTGAGAAATAAAGGTTTAGGGCAAGAATTCTCAAATATAACCCCTGATATACAGAATGTATATTGTCACAGATCTGAAACACTGTAGATCTCATATGCATACACTGTTAAATATTAGTTCCCAATCATTTGCATCCTATTTTGTTGACTCACAACAGGCACATTATCACAGACCTGAAAGCTCAGATAGTTACAAAGAGGGATTCTTGAAACTGTTGTAACAAATAAACATGGCTGTAAAGTGAGAACCTAGTTATCCAAAAAATAAGTAAGGTATTTTTACCAGCTTGCAGCTTTACTGCCCACTGGTGGCAAACTGTAGGCACTGCTACTGCCCGGTGTAATGAACTAGAACTCAAATTCATTGTGGTCAATAATTGTTTGATAGAGCCTTTGCTTTGCGAAGAATACTGTTTTTGATGCAGTCTAAATTAATAGCATGGAAGGAGGTATATAGCTGTTCTGCCCATAAGCAGAGAAGAAAAGAGAGGAAATTCCTCTGGGTTTATCCTCAACTGACAAGGAGATGAATTGGTTTGTATCCCAGAACAGGAAACAACCAAAATTAACTTCCCAAGCCAATTGAAGAGTCAACAATTATGGGGCAATGATAGCCTATTTGTACATGAGGTTCTTTTTTTTACAAATAATATTATCATATGTATTTAATTATAACTTGCAAGTCATATACCTGTCTCTTTTTTTTTAACAGTGGTATGTTCTATGATGGTAATCACACATATCTTATTGAGCCGGAAGAAAACTCTGCTTCTCAAGTAAGTAGAATTAAACAGCAAAGATTATCCTCAGATTGTTCTTTATATATTTAATGTATGACTTCCAGTCCTTACATAAATTCTAGCTATTGTAAGAATTCAGAAATAAAAATGAATTTAGAAAAGTAATCTTCATTGTATATTTTTGCATATGTGTATGTGAATATGCAAGTGTGTATATGTGAATGGGTACTTATATGTCTGTGCATATATTATGTTCTGCAAGTTCCTGGGTACAAAAATGCATAGTTCTAGCTAAGGCATCAGCCTCAGTTTGGATTGATTTACTAAATTTAGATGTCTTTTATTTTAGGAGGAATTCCATTTACACTCTGTGTACAAATCCAGATTATTTGAATTTCCTCTGGATTATCTTCCATCTGGTATATTTTTAATACTCTTATTGTTGCATTTATTTTGTAGTTAAATCATTGCTGTTTTTTTTATTCTGTTGTTATTAATAATATAAAAGCTTCTCTGAACACAGGATTAAAATACCAGAAAAAACACTTTCCCCCCTCCTCAAAAGATTTGTATGGCTTTTGATTTTGTGAAAGTTATTTAATGGTTGGCTTTCTAAAGAAGACTCTTTATAGGTCAAAAGAGGCTAAGGATTGGAACTGATATAAAAAGCTATTGTTTGCAACTCTTTAAAGTTGATTAAACTTTCTTACATTTAATTTACAAGACTAACATGTTAAAAGTCAGTTCCTGCCCAAATGCTGAACATTTCAAGGGGGTATTTTTAGTTCTGTAAGGTTTTAATCAGTTTTAAGAGAATTTCCCATTTATGAAAAAGACTTTCCTTTTCTTCCACATCACTGATTTGGAATGAGCAAGACTTATTTTTCATTCACCTTTTCTCTACTCCAGTTTGTCTTAAAAACAGAGCATGTGATAACTGGAAACACTCTTCTCCCAGTGAGGCTCTCCATGAAAGTTAGAAGTCTTGGAAATCAGGATCCTAAATTGCATTGAGAGCCTCCATAGATAGAGACACTTCTCCACTATAGTTGCATCCTACACGTAGAGGGTATGTGATATGTGTGCACCCATGTAGTGGTAGTGAAGGAGTACTCTTGTTCCTGTTCTCCACAAAGATGAATTCCCTGTTGCTGATTTCTAAATGCATGAACAGAGCTACTGTCAGTGTTTGGTCAATGCTCTGGCTTCATACATTCTGTCATGTTTTATAGTGTCATTTGCCACCACCAATATATAGATCATTTGCTTATTAAACAGCACTTTCATTGGCTTGTGAAGGCCTCATGATTAAATTTTAGCTTGGGTTTTTATAACTTGTTTACTTGAATATCCTATGGGGTTCCAACTCATCCTAAGATTATTTTATGGCAGTTCAAGTCAAGAAGTTTACAGATAGGAAGACTCTCTCATTTATTAAGGAAATGAGTATCTTGCCTTTCCAGAGGTAAGAATACATTGAACAAGAAACCATTTTGAGGGGTGCAAACATTTAAGGTTTCCTTTATTATGAAAGATTTCATTATACTTTAAAAACTAACGAGCTTATTCTAGTTTCATCTTTCATGGCTCTGTAGCCCACTTCATCAAACGCATGAACTTGTTAATGGTGAGCAACTACAAAATAGTCCTTTGGTGAAAATGCCAACCGCTGCATTGATGAATTTCTAATGTAATAAATGTGTTGTTTCTGTTGCAGTAGATGAATATGGTTATCCCCCTTTATTTGCTTCAGTTTTGAGTATTACTTACAATGTTTATAATAGCTTTTTATTCAACCTTTGTTCATTTTGCTGCTGAAAGTGCTTGACTTTCTTAACCGCCATTAGACTGACTGGAATGTGTGTCCCATTTAGAATTCTGGCACATGAATACCACATCACAGAAATTTGGTGCGAAACCAAGATATAAAAGAAGAAAAAGGCAGGTATGCCCTCTCATCCAGTCCTTTCTACATGTACTCTTTTAAAGAGCAAATTATCCAGGCTTCGTTTTCAGCGAATGCGGGACACATTATTTTGCCTGCCTCCCCACATCCCTGTTATAAGCCCAGTTTTTCATTCTGAGAACTTCCAATGTGTTCTTAGATAATAGATAACAATCCAAAGAGGAAGGTCTCATCAGAGGCTGGGAGGGAAGCAAGCTTCCCCTTGTTCCCTCTTCCATTTTGCCTGCTGCTACACCAACAGAAAAAAATACTTTCTACATCATTTGACCAGTGGCTGTTCAAGGCAATTAAGCTGAATCTTTGCTATTTGGAAACTGTTCTTCTGCATTAGTGGGTGTATTTCTGAAAAAGTTATCACATGTCTTCAGTATCATACTACACGTTTTTTCTTCATTTTGGTGAGTGGGTGTTGATATCGTGACCTGCATCTGACTAAGCCATGGGTCAACCATCTGTGCAGGGAATGGATGTCTTCCCACAATTTCACATAATATTACAGGAGTTAAAATATAAACAGAGAAGATACCTTAAGAAGATAAAAAATAAAATGCTTATTTAAAAAGTTAAATGCCCAAAATGTCAAGAATGAAGGGATCTCAAGCTTGACTGTCTCATGAGATTCTGAATGTTTGCATTTTTGTTTAAAGGAAACAGAAAAACAAATGAGGTCAGTTGATGCTCTTTGCCTGACGGTTGAGCTAAGCAGTGGAATGTCCTTCGGTACCCCCATGCCCTGCATTTGGGGCTGCTGTTCTGGACATTACAGAGCTGTAGAAAACGTGTGAGGAAACAATGTCACACAGAATAGGCACGCTGTAATGTGTATTTTTTTAAAGTGAGAAGTACAGAAATATAAATATTACTCATAAATAAAGTGTATGGCTTTGCAGACATTTAACACAAAGAGGAATTCACTAATAAAGTTAAAGGCTATGGGAGTTGCTTTAAAAAAAAAAAGGAATCTATTAAGCTGTATTTTGAAAAATGCTTATTAGGCATGGGAAAAAACGTTATTTTCTATAAAAAACATAACATTCTTTTTGAAGTAAGTCCAATAGCAGCCAATACTTCAATGTAAAATTTACCCATTATGGTTCTTCTAAGCTTACATTAGAGTTAGATTGCTAAACTGTTTCTCTCATTTAAATGTTAGAAATTCTGACATATTCTTTTGCTAATTTGGTATCTTGAACTATTTCTAAGTGCAGTGAAGGAAAGAAATCAGCTCAAAATAATTAGTCTAGAATCAGGTGTTTATTGCTGACCTTTTTAAATGTGTACAGCATCATCCTCTTTCTGTAGGTCCGACCGAATCTACCTAGGGTTGAAGATGAAACGAAATATGTTGAGCTAATGATTGTAAATGATCATCTAATGGTGAGGTTTTACATACAAGGCCTTTTAAAAGTAATCAATAATGCATGCATAGCTTTGTGTCTACAATAGATTCAGCCATAATGTACCTATTGCAAAATGATTCTAATCATTCCAGTGAAGTCGGGCTGTCTGGAACTGTGCTGAAAATCACGCGACAGGATGTCTAAGAACAAAGGAAAGATTAGTAATTACAACAGACTTCGTTTTTTTTACAGAACATAACATTTTTTCTGAATTATTTCCCTGAAGACTACATTTAGTTTTGCACTATATCCAAAGACTGTTAAGAGTGGTGAGAGGTATAATTATATTAACTATAGGATGGGTGGGCTACCTTTCTCTGGAGGCCTTCAGGCTGAAGTTGGATAGCTGTGTATTGAGGACTCTCTGTGTATTTGTTGCATCAAACTGGAGATTGGGCTAAACAATATCAGAGGTCAGAAGCATTTGTGGAAAAGCAGATTATGCTAGAAGGTGGTACTTTGCTTTGCGGCATACCACCTTCTAGACAAACAAACCAATAGTCTGGAGGAGCAGGGAGTTTAGCTATTGGAAGCAGAATCCTGACATAGATATATTGAACTGCCACTGAGCAAAGCTGACTTAGATATATTTTGGAAAAATCAGGCATGGCTAGGTAGATCAGTCAATAGATTTTTCTTGAAACTGCTGGTGATTAGAGAATTTGTTTTTTAGAGAATCAAATCTAATGCCAGTATACTTATTCCAGGAGCAAGAATGATTTTGAGCAATATTCTGTTGGCAAATCTTCTGTAGGCATTCTGTTGGAATTTCTGGTGGTTGAACAAAGATACAGCATGTCATATGATAGGCTCTAGTGGAATGGATCATGTAAACTGTCCTCTGTTGTGCAGTGAATTTATAGGTTGGCTTCTTTCGCCAAACTTTATAATTCTTTGTAAGGTTTCCCTGTATGTTTGGCACAGATACGTTGTTACCTTTTTCTCATAATATATAAAATAATAAAGTAGCCTTCCCCAGCTGGAGGCCCTCTGGTTGTGTTTTGACTAGACAGAATTCTGAGAATTTTAATTCCTACATATATGGAGGACACCAGATTGGTATTCTCCAGATATATGTTGGTATTTTTAGACAACAAGGGGAAACGATCTTTAAAAGAGCAAGCCATTGTAAAGAAAGTTTCAGTAAGTGCAATTATTCATGAGCATGATTAGCCTAAATGAGCAAATGCTGGGTAGGGAATAACACAAAGAGCTATAGTAATACAATACATACTAACTACTGAGCCATAATATGGTTTGTAGTTTTTTACTTGCAGTGTTGTATGAACCCAAATATGGTGTGCCTTATTTAATAAACCATGGTTAAGGAAGTTATGGCTTAGTACAATGTGTGAATTCTGTCAAGGAAAAATTATCTATTAACTTCCCCAAGTTAATTCAGGAAACAGAACATGATTAAAATAGAGATAGCAACATTAAAAGAAGAAGCCTATATATTATCAGTAGATTATTTGAAATGAACATAAAAAATCACAAAGCACAACCCTATAATATATACTTTCACTTATTGATCTTACATGAATCTTTTTACAAGTCAGAAGGCATTTCTTTTTTCTCCCCTCATTACAGAGGGACAATTCCAGATTCTTTTTTGGGGGGTTTCCATTGCAGTAGCATCATAAATCCTCATTTAGGGACCAAGTAAGGGGGAGCTCATTTAAATCATTATATATGGTGCCTCATAGTCGAAGAAGAGGTTATTGATTATGTTCTTGCTTCTTCAAGGAGTAGGGAAGAAGGTAGTCATATTTTATTGAGCACCACATGTTTGATTCTCCTTATGTTTATACACCTATCCAGACTGGGGATTGCCAAGCAGAGAGGGGTGTGTGTGTGTGTGTTCATAATGGTTGCAGATTTTAGTTGTTATTGCCAAAGGCTGAGTTCCAGTTCTGGGACTTCAGTGCAGCTATTTATGCAGTATTGAAATATACTGAAAGAGGAAGAAGCAGAGCTGTTTTTAACAGCCATTAAAAAAATGTGTGTGCAGAATTGTGATCTGAAAGGACAAGCAGCATTCTTGCAGAAATCCCTTACCATAACAATTTATTTGTATCACTATTTTATGACGTACAATCGGTGTTCAAGGCAGCATGAAAGTGAAGTAACTAATAGTAGCATCCTGCACATGTATATTTGATAATAAACTCCATTGTGACCAGGGGGGCTGACTCCTGGCTTATTCCTCCTCCCAGTTTTCCATTTTTTGCCTCCATTCCACTGAGTAGGAATGCCCCTTTTTAGGCTCTCTTGGAAGATGCTGGTTCCTTTCACAAATGCTTTCTTCTAAACCATAATTGGGTTTAATCTAAGTTTGCTAATCTACGTCCCTCTTGGGTACTGATCAGGGCCTTTTTAAAGGATAGGGCAAGGAACAATTGTCCAGACTCCACAGGTGGAGGAGGCCATGTCCAAATTGCAATTTAGTATTTCAGATGACCAGAGGGATCACAATTTTTCACTATTGATCATTTACAATATCATGGCAAGAATTATTTCAAGTTTTCTCACATATTTGCAATTACTGGGTTATTGATTACAATGGAGAAAGATAAAGGGAAAAATTACCCTGAGATTGGATGAAGCAGGAAGAAAGTTTAGATCAGAGAGGATTCCAAACAACTTTCTGTCCTTGGGTCTCTCAGGACTTACAAAGGTCCTGTCTATAGGGATCTGTGGAGGAGGAGACGGGTGTGTGTGTTGAACCATGGGTTGTAATGTTGTGACATAAGCATGTGACTTACATACTTGTGTTTGATTTTGGATCACAAGTACAAAAGACTAGTGGTTCCCAACCTTTTCTGTGCCCCACACCCCTAGGAAATGTTTGATTAATGTTCACACCCCCTACAAAAGTAATATTTCCCAACCTTTTCTGTGCCCCACACCCCTAGGAAATGTTTGATTAATGTTCACACCCCCTACAAAAGTAATATTTCCCAACCTTTTCTGTGCCCCACACCCCTAGGAAATGTTTGATTAATGTTCACACCCCCTACAAAAGTAATATCACATTTGAATATGAAGAAGTCTAATTTCTAATGCAATTGGAACAAAAGGTGAACATATTGAGCTTAAAAAAAATAAGCTTTTAACTCGGTGCATAAAATTGTCTCACCTCCTGAAATTCCATCTCGTACCCCAGGCTGGGAACCCCTGGACTAGATGATGCAATTTTGTGGTGTTTGTATCAAAGGCCTATGGCCTTGGTGTTAGTAGTGCTCTTTCAGCTACCTGGACTAATCCTCAAGGAAAATGAAATGCTGTAAAAATAGCAATAACAGTGCAAAATGCTACAAAAAGCCAAGTGTGTTTCTATTCTAATTGTATATTACACTTCCTTTATTCCACCCTATTTTATAGTTTGTGGCTGCATTGCCATATTATTTTCATGTTCCCTCCACCTTCCCTTTTAGTAATTGATATAATGAGATAGAAAACATAGAAGATTATAAATATAATTATATCATAGATGCATAATACAATTAAAATTATTTAATTATAATTATTTCCAGAAATGTAGATAAAGGATCTTCTGAGTTTGGCATTTTACAAGCACAAATTAAGAGACTATCTGAACAACTCTGCACTGCTTTTGTTGTGTCAAAATCTGGTGCAGAAAAGTAGTAGAAAATGGCATATGACACAATGTAGATTGGAAAATGATGATCAGTAAGCACATACAGCTCTCATGTTATGCAGTCTTTTGCAATCAGCAATTTTGAGATCATGTGCCAACCTACTTGTTTTTGGGAAGGCATCAGATCTAAGAGGCCCCCTGACCCCTCCTATAGATGTTGCAATTCTGTCTTAAAAAAAAGAAAAGAATTGGTAGTATATATTTATAATTAAGAGCAATCAAGAGCAGTTTAAATCAATCAATTTTATTTTGATCAACCACCAGTAAACTACATACAAATAATGAATGATACAGGAATGACATCTGTATCAGACTTACATCAGTTGTTGCCTTGTTTTCATTGTGACAACATAGGATTTAGCTACCATATGGGTGATAGGTAGTTTCATAGTTGAGAAAAGGAGTTTCGCATAATTATTCATTCTTTCTGGGTATTGATGGGCGGGAATAATATATTCCAAATATCCCTGTAAATATTTACTACAGTATAGTTGCGCATGGTGAACTATTTCTGTGTACCTGGATCTTCTTGAGCAGGGATGGTCAGCTAATGGGGTGTTAGAATATCTCCACTGCAAAAGTGCAGAGGGAAGGATGTTTTGTCTGGCCTTGAAAAAATGTTTTTCTCAGCTTGGGAAATGTAAGAGCGATTAAATATTTTTCAGGCCCCTAAGCATCTTTTGCAGCCCAAGTTCAGTCTGATCTTATTTAAACTTTGAGAGAACATTTGTTTGGCCTGTTCATATCCCAAACACATTAAACATGCTACTGATAGCGCATATGATCCTAGTTTTTATTTTACTACAGCTTTCTAGTGTGACGGATAATTGTTAACAAAAGTAAAGGCAATAAGCCTGTAGGGAAAAAAATGGAAAGCAATGCAGTTTAAATACCAGAATAAATTAAATCTATACATTAGCAGCAATTACCAGCAATTTAAGTTTGATGTATATCAGGTTGCATATATAAAGTATCTGATATAGACAGAGTTTGAATGCTTGCACATAGTCTTGAGTTGATCCTAATAAAGATATTATCTTTAATTTGGATATTTTTTAAGTGCTGCTGCTCTGTAGGCATTTGGCCTGCATTATCTTGCAGGCACCTCTCTCCTCCTGTGTGTATAAAAGCTGACCAGTAGGATACAGATATTGGACTCCAATTTGTGCTATTGGTAGCTGACTAAACAGAAAAGATCCTTTACTATCATTTGGTATTTCAATTTTTATGGTACCATAATGAATTTTTAAAATAATTATACCTGAATAGATACCCTGTAAATCCATATATCTAAAGTCATGGAGCAAAAGGTTTTGATAAAGTCATTCTTGAAAGGACTTGAAGTTTCAGAAAGATGCTTGGAATTTGTCTTTTTTTCTTTCTTAGCTGAAAAAGCACCGATTATCAGTTGGCCACACAAACAGCTTTGCAAAATCAGTGGTGAACATGGCAGATTTAGTAAGTATAATTCTCATGCTATTCTAGATATATGTCAGTGTTAATACAGGAATGCTCGTTTAAGGTCAGAGGGGAAGAAATCAGATGTTAATTCATTTTTTCAGCATCTATTTAGCTTGATTCTTGGGTATGAATGAATGAAGAATAGGAACAGAACAGCAAGTAGAAACACTGCTATATTTATGGCTGTGTGTTTACCCTGGCGTTCTATCAAAGCTTCAGTCAGTTCTGAAGCACTTCACCTTTCAAAAGAATGACTCTAAAAACAGCTTAGTTTTTTTCACAATAAATTTAATTTGTTAGACAGTAGATGACAATGATTAATGCAAGTATTCTCTATCTTGGATTTTTCTTTGGTTTCTTTTTTATATACTGTATGTTTCTAACAAAAACAGGATTGGCACTATTACTTTGTGATCATTCATTTTGTTAATGTGCTAGATTTATAAAGAACAACTCAACACCAGGATAGTCTTGGTTGCCATGGAAACCTGGGGTACTGATAACAAGTTCACCATATCTGAAAACCCACTGGTGACTCTACGTGAATTTATGAAATATAGGAGAGACTTTATCAAAGAGAAAAGTGATGCAGTTCACCTTTTTTCGTACGTAATTTTGTATTGTTTGGTTATTATTGGAGATGATGGAGCTTGAATGCTTTGTACCATTGAAAGTATCATTTGAGACATAGAAATGGTTTTGTTGTATGGCTTACTATTGTATCATTTCTTTATCATGACTGTAAGGAGGAGATCAAATGCTTTTATTTAAACATGTTTAACTCTTATATTGAAATGAACTATGACTGTGGTTTAAGAAAAAAAAATGAAGTTGACTTATTTCTCCGTGGCACTGTTAAGATGAACTACACTTTGTTTAGTTATGAGTACGCATAGCTAATTGAAAATGAAAGCCAAAAACATAAATAAATCGGTTTTTTCCCCTCATCGCTGTATTGAAATACTGATGGAAATCTCTGGTTTTCATTTTGCTAAACAGGAGACTCCCAATCCATTGGGTCTGTGGGTCCACACTTGGCCTCTGAGTGAGGTGTTACAGACCACATTTCAAAAAGTGGATGGCACAAGGACAAAAAAATGGGGAATCAGAACGAAAGCTAATATTGATGCAATTTCAATTTAAACTTAATACTAAATTTAATGAAGTTTAGTTATGTGTGATTTTTCTCTCATGTACAGTATATAATAATTTCCACATTTTGAATTTGATGGCAATCTTTGGAGGAGCTATAAAGTCCTCACCCAATTCCAGAAAGTATTGGAATGGTCATGCTTAATGCAACTCACCTTTCTTTTCTTTATATGAAACCAGTAAGAACCTTATGAGCAGTTTAATGAACCAACCAAAATAGCAATTTCTAGAAACACAGAAGAAAATACTTCCTGCTATGTTACAGTTTGGAGTAGTGTATTGGAATTCATCTCTATTCTGATGACAAAATTGTTTAAACCTGTGGATTCCCCCATCACAAACATATCCCTTGCCTTCTCATTGGTTATCTCCCTGTTATCTGTCTCCCAGATGCATTTTATTTTACTGAATTTTTTGGTATCAATTTATAATTTGTACAAAAATATATTGAGAAAGTTATTGTGGAGAAATGAGCAGGGCTAGTGAAACATTTCTGTTGTCCTCCTCACAGATTCCAAATACTTGAATCCCCATTCTCACTTTAAAGATGCTTAAACTAGGCATGGGCAACGTTTAATGTTTTGGCTGGGAAGCCAAAGACAGGAAGGATGGGATCGTATCATTTGCACATGGATGTTTCTAGAGTTTTCCATTGGCCTTGTTTTTTGTGTGGTAGTTCCCCCCACCCAAACTATGCTTTAGGGTTTGTGCTATATTTTGGGGATGTCATGTCTGCACATGGCAGGAAACTATGTTGCTCATGTTGACATATCCCTGAAGGAGTGTGTTGGGAGGACCATGAAAAATGGGATTTGGGGACCACAGATACCCACCGCTGGTTTAAACAAAGCATTGTCCCCAGTAGTATATAAGTATCTCTAGAGTTGGACTTTACTCCTGGTGACTGCATGGACATGCATTGTTTTCTTGGCAACGTTATGGAACTGGTTTGCCAAGATGTGTTTTTCAACTTTTCCTGCCTACTCTACAGCTTTGAGATATCCTACTGGTTTCCCATCCAGTTGTGCCACTATCACATCTCATATGGCCCTGAAATATTGTAGTAATTTGCTGCTTTTTTTCCCTCAGAAATTTTAAGTCATATAAACATTCATATTGTTTAGGGTGGTGAAAGTTTGTCCAAGCTGCTTCTGTCATGCTTAAATGTGATCTCAATCTTCACCTGAAATTATTTCTGCTACAGAATGCAAAAGTGACATTGTAAAGTTGGTGAGAGGCTATCTCAAATCAGCCTACCCTAGCATCTAGGGCCACCCAGATGTGTTGAGACTGCAGTACCCAGACATTATTCTGATAATTCTGGAACAGCAGTTCCAGAACATCTGCAGCCTAACTAGATCCTCAGAAATGTTGGCCTGGGATAATGCTTTCAGAACTATGACATTTTTGTCCTTTATTTTCCAAATTATAATAACGGAGTTTTTCAATTAATAGTTTTTATATTAAGGGAAGATATCCTGTTCTCAAGATGGCTTTGGGTGCTGCATTTTCAAGCATCTGTTTCATACAAGTAGTGTTAAATCTGTGCAGATCATTCTAACTGAACTGTAATATTCTATAGAGCAAGCAGTATTTTGGCACAATCTATACAAATACATATTATTTTTTGCATGTATACACACACAAACACACAGAGGGAGCTGAGTAGCTTGATGTTTAGGATTTTTTGGGTGTGGGGTTATAAAAATGCTAAATCTTACCATCCAGACTGAAGCATCTCCTTTTTCTTGTTAACAAAGGTAGAACTCTTTTCCATCATGAATGGCCTTTTTGTTGAAAATATATTGTAATTCCCCAAATGCTATTGATTTTATTTACTGTACTGCTGTTTCTGTTTTGTTTTAAAAGGGGGAGCCAGTTTCTCAGCAGCCGTAGTGGGGCAGCCTATATTGGTGGCATCTGTTCATTGCTGAAAGGTGGTGGTGTAAATGAAGTATGTCTGCATTATTCTATAAACACAGAATGATAGTTCCATGATTGTCAAATTATTTCTACTTTTGCTTTCATTCACACAATGCTTTGCAATCCATGTGAAGAGATTTCCAGAGTAAATATCATCAAGTCATTACCTTCTACTATTTCTAAGAAAAAGCAGCCATTGACCAGGTCTTTCTTTTAAATGTTTAGGGTTCCATAAATAGGGAAAGTCTCAACTGCTCATCTGTGATCTGAAGAATTTCATAGAATATGTGTTTTAGGCTACAAATTGCTTTTTAATTTTTATTTTTGAGGTTAAGGAATGCTATTGGCACTTTTACTGCATCATTCCACTTCATTTGCAGAGATGTGGACATTTCTTTTAGCCAGCTGGCTGGGGATGGAAGGCTTTAACATTTTGCCCCCAACATGACCCTGGTTGGAATTTTATTTTTTTTTCTTTAGTTTGGTTCAGTTTAATTTAGCTTATTGGTAAGAGACAACTTTACCCCTGCTGTTTCCGTTGGTTTCTGTTAAAACTCCTTTTTCTACTGCAAATAGAAGGTATAGGTAGGTCTAATTAGCCTTGTGGTTGGCTGTGTTTTTTGATGTATCTTTTTTTCTTTTATTTTTTTAATTGTAAGCTGCCCAGAGTTATTGAGGAGTGAGGGGCCTCAAAATCAAATAAATAAATACACATAATAAATAATCAGAAACATAATGGTAGCAAAGAGTTATGGTTAGGGGACTTACCTAGCAGTGGAGATACCTTAATCACAAGGGTAACACTTAATCCCCTAACCCAGTAGAGATTATTGGAGGCACATAGGACATGTTTATTTAAAAGAAAGCTTATACAGTACCATGTGATAAATATCATGTTTGTTTGGCTCTGAGCCAAACTTATATTTAGCCTTAATATTTCATCTGAGTCTTTGTTTTTATTGTTTTAAACAGTGCTTTGCAAATTTCTACTAGGTTGTTACTCATCTGCACTTCAGAGCATACTTTGGGGAATAAATGCTCCAAGGTGGTACAACATTTCTTGCTACAGGACTGTTAATTTAAAACTTCTAAAACAGAAATGCTTCAGAGTCACTGCCTTTTGTTTTTCAGTTTGGAAAGCCAGATTTAATGGCTGTTACATTGGCACAGTCCTTAGCTCACAATCTTGGGATCTTCTCAGACAAAAGAAGGTTGCAGAGTGGTAAGAAATGCTGTGGTTTGACTTTTTTAATGCGGTTTTTTTTCTGGCAAAGATATTCTCACACTTTTTCCTCTACCAGGGCCTTTGTCAGTTTTTATAATTAAATATGCCTTTTTAAAAAGATTGCTTGCAAAATTTGTAGGAATCCAGCTGAATTAATTGGAAATGAACCTTAAAAAAAATAGGCACAGAATTGGAGATAAAATTTGGTACTACAGTGGTACCTCGGGATACGAACTTAATCCGTTCCGTGACTCTGGACGTATCCTGAGCTGGTCGTGACCCGAAGCAAATTTTCCCATAGGGTTCAATGTAAATCCAGTTAATCTGTTCCGCCCTCCACCCGAATTTGGTCGCAACCCGAGGCAAATTTCCCCATAAGGTTCAATGTAAATACGGTTAATCTGTTCCGCCCTCCACCCGAATTTGGTCGCAACCCGAGGCAAATTTCCCCATAAGGTTCAATGTAAATACGGTTAATCTGTTCCGCCCTCCACCCGAA